ATATCATTACTTATACCATTGATATCATATCACTACTTATACCATTGATATCATATCATTACTTATACCATTGATATAATAACATTACTTGGTATCACTCATATCATATCACTACTTATATCACTCATATCATATCATTACTTATACCATTGATATCATATCACTACTTATACCATTGATATCATATCATTACTTGGTATCACTATTTATATCATTGATATCATATCACTACTTATATCACTCATATCATATCATTACTTATACCATTGATATCATATCACTACTTATATCACTCATATCATTACTTATACCATTGATATCATATCACTACTTATATCATTGATATCATATCACTACTTATACCATTGATATCATATCACTACTTAGATCATTGATATCATATCACTACTTATATCACTCATATCATATCATTACTTATACCATTGATATCATATCACTACTTATACCATTGATATCATATCATTACTTATACCATTGATATCATATCACTACTTATACCATTGATATCATATCACTACTTATACCATTGATATCATATCATTACTTATACCATTGATATCATATCACTACTTATACCATTGATATCATATCATTACTTATACCATTGATATCATATTATTACTTATACCATTGATATCATATCACTACTTATACCATTGATATCATATCATTACTTATACCATTGATATCATATCACTACTTATACCATTGATATCATATCACTACTTATATCATTGATATCATATCACTACTTATATCACTCATATCATTACTTATACCATTGATATCATATCACTACTTATACCATTGATATCATATCATTACTTATACCATTGATATCATATCATTACTTATACCATTGATATCATATTATTACTTATACCATTGATATCATATCACTACTTATACCATTGATATCATATCATTACTTATACCATTGATATCATATCATTACTTATACCATTGATATCATATCACTACTTATATCATTGATATCGTATCACTACTTATATCACTCATATCATTACTTATACCATTGATATCATATCACTACTTATACCATTGATATCATATCATTACTTATACCATTGATATCATATCATTACTTATACCATTGATATCATATCACTACTTATACCATTGATATCATATCATTACTTATACCATTGATATCATATTATTACTTATATCATTGATATCATATCACTACTTTTACCATCAATATCATATCATT